AAAAAAAAAAAAAAAAAAAAAAAAAAAAAAAGCAAAAAACCGCATTTATTACGAGGAAAAACCACCGATGAACCAAACAGATGATGATCGATTAACGAGCCTTCTGAAAGGTTCAAAGTTACAGAAATTTGATGAACCAGTATTCGTCACGACATTTGCGCCTCCAATTTACTATGAAATAAACATGTATCATCAAAACAAATCAAAAGGCATGTAAAGCAATTGTACTCAATGCCAGAACACCAGAAACAAACAGTTGTCTTCAGTTATCTGAGAACTATATTTACGTACCTATACGTCTGTTTTTGACGATATAAAGGTTACAGAAGAACCGTTGTAAAAACACTACTCTCTTGATATATCACGTGTCATCAACAAATCGTTTTCTCCCCAGTCACGTCTCTTTTTTTTTTTTCATTTCCTTTTCACATCGTCCTCTGCTTCCCTTTCTTTAAAGAAAAAAAAAAAAAAAGAAAATACACTTAACTACAAAAACGTCAAAAACAATACGGCAGTGATTTAATAATATAAGATAAAAAAGAAAAAAGTCCATCATAAATCTAAGAAAGAAAAAAGAAAAATAAATAAATGGATAAATAAAGGCTTACTAGATGACATAAATAAATATCTGCTATACGATTAATTCAATTTGATGCCATAATATTACAGAATATAGGGGATTAAATAAGCATATTTTTTTCCCTCAGCAGCAGCAAAACTCTCACCTTTCATTTTTTTACAGGCTAAAAATAAAAAACATTCATGGTAGACAAAAGAAAAAAAAAAACTTTTTCTCACAGAAATTTCAAGAAAAAAGTGTGCTGAGCATTAAAGATTTAAAAAATTCAATCGTTGAACTGAATACAACGATACTATAAATCATTCAGTAGCCACGTGAACAACGATAAACTCTAAAGTACTGTTCACAAAATGATAAACTCAGAAAGTGTACCTTCTGTTCTGAACATAAACCTTCCTCCCTACACCCACCCAAGAAAATTAATGATCATTATGCAGAGAGGAGAAAATAACAATAATGATAAAATAGATATACAAATTATAAATCCACTTTTTTCTTTTAAAAAAATTTATGCAAAAAATTTGTAGTATGTGACAGTAAAAAGCACAATAAATGTAGCCGTGATATAATCGGAAAAAAAGTGAGAAAATAAAGTTAAACTCAAACTAAAACCACAGCAGCTGCCTTATGAAATCATAGGATCAATGTCGCCCATTTAGTGAACGAATTCTAATGAAGTATTCGGATTTGACCATTCCAACTGCTCTCTATACAGATACAGTTGTCGCCAACTGTACTGTTCCTGTGTACTCACTACCTAACTGGTCAAATTTTAGAATGGAAAATACTACGAAGTTCAGAATGGACTACACCTGAAATAGAACAAAAAATTTGCACTTCCCACCCACCAACCCTCAAATGATATTAATCGGTGATGTCATCAGTAACATAACGATATGATGTTCTGATAGTGCAATCGTCATAATGAATAAGAGGGAACTGTATAGTCCTAAAACCATACCGATTATTCATAATTCTCTTGTTTTTTTTTTTTTGGCGTTTACGATAGTACAACAATAAACTAGCAGTCTTCTTCCGGATACCTTTTCATCTGAAATATTTCAACTAATTACATCAATTCATATTCGACAAAATTAACAATTAGGTTGAAAAATAATTGTAAAAAAAAAAAAAAAGAAAACACATCAGCAACAAAAACAACAACACCACTATTTACTTTCTTAATTATAGCCAAGAAAAAAGAAAGCTGAAAAAAAAAAAATGAAACAACTAAAAGAACAA